AGGGGGAGAAAAGGGATGGCAATAAAGAAAGTTGCCGTAGGTGTTGCAATCTAGATGATTTAAAGTTCTGTTTCAGAGGTTCAGGTGAAATGACTCGCCCATGGTCAGACAGAAGGTCAGTGGCAGAACTAGGAATAAAACCCAGGTCTCCTGGCTTCCCGTCCCCTGCTCAAACCCCTAAGCCATTCTAGTCTACTGGTGGCCAAACCTCAAAAGGTTCATTGTAGACAGACATCCAAAAGTTCAGAGGCTTAGCTCACCTTCTTGGGTCCACTGAAATGTCACTCCTCTTTTCAAACAGCCCAAAGCACAGGGACAGTTTTGGCTGGGTATTTACTCTCAACCCAGTTTTAGAGAAGATCACTGACTTGATAAAAAACACACCCAGTCACCCTCTTCAGTCTCCATTATGTTGGTCCCAGGAAACCTTCTAAAGCAGTGGGTCTTCCCCTTTTCCATCCCACAACCCGGTGCGACACCCTAAGAATGTTGAGGGTCCCTTCTAGTGATAAAGAAGAGGAACAAGCAATATGTTGAGAACACATCAAAAATATGGGCAGACATTCTTCGGCACTCTGAATAAATTATCTAGCATTCCCCTTGACAGTACAGCCTGGCTTCAACGTGGGGGTGGTGAAATACTGGCAGAGGAATATAGAATAGTTATTGCTAGAATGTGGAGTAAAACATTAAATGCTGCCATTAAACTCAGTGTTCTTCTCTGGGGACACACTGTGTGTTTCTCTGCCATTACAGATGCACTTTCCCAGCCTCAGCTCTTCATTCTCTGTGGGACCTATTATTCCTCCATAACCTTTCAACTTCGTCCCCAGGTACTAAATTTATTCTCCAAACTCCTGATTCTTATTTGAGCCTTTTCATCCAAAGGCACGGTGACTAATTTGCTAGCTAAAGCTCCACATGTTGCATCTCCTGCTGGTTTTCAAATCACACTGGGAAAGAAATCCTCTAACTACTTAAAGGTGACCTGCAATGAAAGAATGGTGTGGAACTTATTTTTAAATGAGCTATGGAATTATGTGCTCAGTGGCCCAGATAGTAAGGTTAGGAGCAGCAGTCAGACAGCAGGGATCCTAAACTTTTTAATTTTAGGTCATTCAATGGCACAGATTTGAGTCTCCTTCAGAATCATCATTGGAACTTGTCCGGAGCAGAGAGCTAATCTATACTCCAGGACAGGTAAGTTGTGCTGCTATTTTTTAATAGTCGTTTGGCAAAATTGTGATTTCTCGCATATGGGGTTGCCATGTTATCCTTAGTGCAACTCTTCAGGGATCTCTATTCCAGAATACAATCATTTAGGCACCAAGGTGTATCCTGAAGACAGATCTAAACTGGAGAACTTCTGGTTTTAGCACTTAAACTCACTGGTGCACTTCTTACTGGCTCTGCATGCATTGATATTCCATCACGCACCTAGTCTCAAAGCACCAATGAAAAAAGCACTGGTTTCTACTACTAAATTTTTGGAATATGTCTTTCAATAAGTCCATTAGAGGAGTGATACTTGTACATTTAAATTTAGTGTTTAGTTTGCTGTATGATCCGATAAGGGTAGACACAGTTGTGAGTTTCAGGATTCAGTGGGCTGTGTTGTACTGTTTAGCTGACGTGACTGCAAATCTCTTGGTAAGATTTCTTTGTACCATTCCCTAATCTTCGGTAAAGGGTCAGAATGCAAGTGTAGGAATATATCTAAGGATATGAACAGATGGAACAGGCCAGCAGAGAATGATCTGAAATCCTTATGTGACTGCAAAGTCAACTCATTGCTCCAGAAATGTATTTTCTTCTCCTTTTAATGTTACAGGCTTACTTAGATTATAAATTCTTCAGGGCAGGGACCATCTTTTTGTTCTGTCTCTATAGAGTCTAGCATAATAGAACACTTTAACCTGTCTGGCCATTCTTTGACAGACCTGCGGGTGGCTATCTTAAAACAGAAAAACTTCAAAAACAGACTCCAACGAGAGACTGCTGAGCTGGAATTGATATGCAAACTAGACACAATCAACTCAGGGCTAAATAGGGATTGGGAATGGCTGAGCCATTACAAACATTGAATCTATCTCCCCTTGTAAGTATTCTCACACTTGCTTCTTATCAAACTGCCTGTACTGGGTTATCTTGATTATCACTTCAAAAGTTTTTTTTCTCTTACTTAATTGGCCTCTCAGAGTTGGTAAGACAACTCCCACCTGTTCATGCTCTCTGTATGTGTGTATATATATCTCCTCAATATATTTCACTTTATATGCATCCGAAGAAGTGGGTTGTAGCCCACGAAAGCTTATGCTCTAATAAATTTGTTAGTCTCTAAGGTGCCACAAGTACTCCTGTTATTTTAGCATAATAGAATCCCTAGTTATGACCAGCCTCCCACATGCTATGGAAATACAATTAATGAGCGGAGTGGAAAGTGATTGATTTTTGAAGTATGTAGTTTCATAAGACTAAACTAAGTACACATTCACTCCAAGATAAAAGGAAATTTAGAGCCAAATGGTGCAAGATTAACACGTGTACAGAGGCAAAGAGATTGCACCTGTTCAATTCATCACTCGATGAACGAGCTCCATCTGGTGCACAGATAGGTTCATTGCGACCCTTCCTCAAAACCTACATCCAGTTCCTGCAGCTGTAGGCCCACATGTCCGACAATACTTTCTGCTTAAAACTGAACCTCTAAACCCAAATGTAATTTGGGCCCCAATCCTGCAAGCTGCTCTGCACGGCTGGGCCCTTATACCATGCAGAGGCCTTCTGTGCAAAGCAGCTTGCAACCCCCCCAGAGCTGTTTGTAGGACCCCGGCCTTAATGAGCAGTAGGGGACAGAGGCTAGGATTTTAGGAACATGGCCAGAGCAGGGAGAGAAGAGGAACCTCAGAATTTGGAGCATCACTAAACAATGCATATGCATAAGAATTTGCTAAAGATGCCACACAGATTGCAGGGTGCTGCTAGAAAGGTGTCGATTTTGAGTGTATTAAGTGTGTGTACCGCCCTGTGGAATCTAACCATCATGTATACATAACCCGCATTTGGAAAAAACAAAACAGGACCAACAGATTAGTAGAAACAAAGCAAATTCAGGTTTTCCACTGGTAAGTGACTTTTTAATTGAAAAACCACTTGTTGGAAATTGCAGAATCAAGTATTACAGCTTTGATGATATAAGAATAGTATTTAGCTTGGACATACTGGTGGAGAATAGATAAACAGTTTTCACATGATGTTTCTCCCTTTATATTAAACCCTTGGAACAAAGGCATTATGCAAATGTTACTTATGATACGTACAGCTTTTTCACATCATATGTAGTGCAAGATGCTTCAATTTCATACAATATTTTAATCGTACACAAAATATGCAACACCACATTTTAGATGAAATATCAACATCTGACCAGAAAGAAAACTCATTTAGCTAAAACAAAACAAAAAATAGCAAGTATTTATTAGACGTTGGAACACTGAGCTACCTGAATTGTCTTAATACGTGGGGGATCTACCCCATGGCATTGAGTGTAAACAGCATTTTGAAAGTTACAGTAAGTTTAAAAGGGGCTTTTCTAAATTAATATCTTAACATGGAAGGAAAATGGCACATTTCACAGAGCTATACTAGAGGCATAAATATCTTTTAATCACTGTGGGTAAATATCCATCCTTGGATCAGATGGGGGGAAACCCTCCTTTCCTGATCCTCAAGCTAAGAAATACTCTATGGACAGATTCTGATCTACAGAGATGCATGCTGCAGCTGAGAGTTTAGAATCCGCTGTTAAATGTATTGGGTCTCTTCTGATCACTACCCAAATGGCTAATTAAGCAACCACTCATTATTAGGTTCAATATGCCCTGAATGTATGAGACCCAAGATCACATGCCTTCAAAGACCTGAGAAAGGCAGGCATTTCTGTACACCACCACTCTTTGAAGGCAAGTTATTAATGTAATTTAAGGGAGAGTAGTGTGGCTAGCTAGGTCAAACCCATGAGGTAATACTCAATTCTAGCATTGTGGCCTTATTGGCCATTTAAATGCCTCCGATTATCTAGATCACTTTATTAGCGTTAATAAAATATACAGGGGCACAGTGTGAGAGGTGTGAACGTTGTCTTGAAATAGTTTCACAGCAGTGGTATTAGTGTTCTTTCTGAAATATCCATGCAGTGTTATGAAAGATAAATTTTGAAAATATCTGATAAAGTACAATTCATTATTTTATAACCAGCTTGCATACCTTTTCCTGTTTATACACCTATTATATACACAACATACATAGGAATTCTTGCTAAAACAATTTTACCCTTACCACTTGCATGAAGATTTACCCTCCTTTTAAAGCTTATGATTGATTTGGACTGGAAGGCATTAAGCTTCACCAAACACTATGATTTTATGTATAGTACAAATCATAAGTACCCCACCCAGCCAGCAGGACTTCATTTCTCTAGGCTTTCAGCATTCCCTTTATTTCCTAAAGTCTACTCCAGGGGTAGTTTCTGTAACTGTAGCCTCAACATCCATAAGGCTCTGAATTATTCTGTGATTCAGTACTGTGCAGTTTGCACTAAAGATTATTTCCCACCCCCAAAAGGCATGAGGCCAAGCAACAAAACTGGGGGGAGGGAGGGGGAAGAGGGAGAAAATAACAAAGGGACTTCCTATCTCAACAGCCCCACACAAAAATGGAGGGGGGAGGGAACGTATCCTTATACCACACCTCCACACCATTTAGTTTTTGTGAGGATGAGTGGGAGAAGAAAGGGCAGGAAGTATTATCCAGTGCAAGTGATGACCAGCTGCCGTGAAGGTGGTCTGTAATCAATTGCTCACTCTGTTGAGAGAAAGCATCATAACTTCAAGGGCCCTGCTTTGCAGTGCATCAAAACCAAAATACCAGGCCCTGTAACACACATCACCTTGCTAACCCAACCAGAGAACAAGTGGCTGAATGGCAATGAGTGTCATCTGTACACAGGCCTTACAATATCACAGCAAGAGGTTCCAACCCTAGTTTAGCTGAATTTTAGCATTATCACACGAGTAGGACAAAGGGAGAGTCCTCATTACTTTTGTTTAAAAAGGCATTGGAGCTACGAAGATTAAGTGATCACTCATGGCTGGGTGCTTTGTTTGGCTTTTACAAAGAATAAAGACCTGATAAAGTTTTGAAAAAGAAGTTCAGTGCAGAGAAAAGCAGTAAGTCCTTTAAGTTTAAACAAGCTAATATGGGCTTTGGAATGTTTATTCCAAATTTCTTCTAATAAAAGGGGAGCCAAGAATTAAGTCAGCTTTCTTTTAAAAGGCCAAAGAGTACCAATCAGGTTAATTATGGGCTCTACTAGAGACATGGGGGAGAGGAAGAGAATCCAGTCTCTAGTGCAAATAACCACTTATTTACATGAGTGCACCCTCCCCCCCCTACAGTGAATTCCAGAGGTCTCAATATTGAGATATTCTAATCAAACATCCCCTACGCTAGGGGAGGTCAAGCAGTTTGTGTTGGGCATAGAGCTCCTCTGTGATTTTATAGACTTCACAGATATAGGGCAAAGCATCCCCCAGCATAGCCACAGCCTCTTCAGCTGTGCCCACATTCATGGTTTCAAGGAATGTATTTCGAGTGGGTAAGGCACAAAAAGCCACCCCGGCAGCCTTGCGAATAATCCAGGGATGATAGTTAGCCAAGGAAGCATTGTACGTCTCTGAGCAGATCACAGAGGTTTTGGAGTTGTCCTCGCCAGTCCTCAGTCCTTCCAAGAACATCTGCAGCCAGTGAAGGGCTCGGTGGAGGCGCAAGAAGGTTCTGCAGCCTGAGTTAGGGTGCTTGGATCGCTGTTGGAGATCAACCAGGCCATTAGCTAGCTCATACTCCACCATGGATTGAACAGTCAAGTACTTTTCTCGCTGGTCACTATTACGGTAATTCTCTATGATCTCTATTTTGGTCACTGCGTCTTTAGAAATGAAGGAGAAAATTGTGCCCAGGCAGTTCAGAAACCTACAATCAAAACAAAAAATTAATTGTGTTATGTGACAGAGTAAGGGAGCTTGAGAAATGATGCTGAAATGGTGACCTTACTTAAGTGGTTAAGAGTTTGATCAGTCTTAATTTTATATCAGAAATTATTGGACAGACCAGAACTGGTGAACATAGATTGAACTTAAATCTAAAATGGAATATATGTAAAAATAAGGTGGTAGTCATTTTTATTTTTATTACAGGTAATGTAGTAAATAACGGGAACAGGCTTACAAACAAGACAGTAGTGGAGTCAAGTGTCGGTAATATAAAGTAAAACTGGTTAACTACATAGAATGTAATATACTAAGAGCCACTTTGTGCCTAGTACTAGTCACCTACCTTTTTCAGGGATGATCAAGAGGCAGTGTTTCAGTGTTAGGCTTGGAAGGATTAGATTTTTATCGGTAGACATTGATAAACATTGATTTCACACAAACTGATGAAAAAATATTTTCATCAACAGTCAAAGTTTACGTATAGGCAAAGTAAGAAAAATGCTGCTTGAGAACTTTGAGTTTGATGTAAGGCGATTTACTTTGTTAAATTGCCAATATCATATGTCAAAACAGTTATTGAGATTCAAAAGCTGAAACTTTGTCTATTATCATTGAACTGTCTGAACCCCCCCCCTAATTTTGTGCAACTGCAAAAATTTAAATTGATAAAATGTATTAGTTTGAAGCATATTTATCATAATTAAAAATATCAAAATTGAATTCTGTCATGCCTCATTATGCTTCACCTCTAGCTTAGATCACAAGAGCAGGGGTGGAGGCAGGTGGTTTGCATTAAACTCATGTCAAGTGTGTAGTACGGGGACATTAGAGACACAAGGTAGGTAAGTTCATATCTTTTACTGGATCAACATCTGTTGGGGAGCAAGACAAGCTTCAGAGCTCCAATGAACTCTTCCAGTTGGATGGAGCGGGAGGGCCCAGTTATCCTCAAAACGTTCCCAAGAAGGGGACTATGCTCCCTAGGACAGTTACCTGACGCTGGTTTTACAGTGCACTATAACACTTCCTTAACTATCAACCCACCTTTGCCCTGTGCCTGCAGTGGTGTTCATTTCCCACTTCTTTTTAAGGGGTCTCCTGTAGCCTGTTCGATCCTTAGGCTGAACAATCTGCTCGAGCTGGTACCTACCTGTGACACTGGTTGCCTCCTCCGGCGCTTGAAAGCTTTGATCTGCCTACACCCCAACCACGGGCCCGTGCAGCGCTGGGGCTACAGGCCAGGCTGGGCAGGGAGGCTACTCACATGTCTCCTCCCGTACTTCCGGGAAGGGCGTGGCCCTCCGCCACGTGACCACAGACGCTAGCTATGGGCGGGGCAGCGAAGCCAGGCAGCGCCCCCAGCGGCCCACTCGGTATCTCCCCCGGGGCGGGGCCTCGCGCGCGGCCGCTGAGGTCTCGGGCCGGTTGAGGCCAGTCACAGCCCACGAGCCCCCCCCCTTACCGGACCAGGCCTTTCCAGCCCGCCAGGTACGGGTCCACGCGGACTTCCCGCTGCTCGCTGACGCAGGCTGTGAACGCCACCAGCACTTCCCGCAGGGAGAACGTCTCCGCCCCCGCCGCCATGTTGAACCGCTGGAGACTCCCCCGGCTCCCCTCAGCCGGCTGCTTCCGCTTTCCTGACTGCTGCCCCGCCCTCTCTCTCCGCAGCCAATCGACGCCCGAGGCTCCTGCTCCAGCCATTCACCGTCTTCCTCTCCGGGCACCACGTTGCCTTGGCCAATCGCAAGTAGGGATACGGGTGGTGGTTGGGGGGGGAGGATGATAGCCGCTGCCCATTGGCTGGCGCTCGCTGTGGACGTGGTGAGAGGCTATGCCTGCGTCACGTGATAGGGGAGTGACACCCCCGCCAAGTCAGGGGACGGTGCTTAGGTAGGGCTGTCGCGCATGCGCAGATGTAACCGAGGGAGCGGGCCTGCCAGAAGCAATGGCAACGTGAGTCCGTTTGGGAGCCGCGGCCTGGGAGTGAGCGGAGCGGGGCCCGTGCCGGGGGGGGGGGGGGGGGGGGGGGGACGGGGGGCGCCGTGCTGCGGGTTAACTGGGACATTTTTGTTCCGATCACTTTTTCGGATCCCAACCTTTTAAAACTTAAACTGGTTTTTATATAAATAACATTTTGTTCCGAAAAGCTCTTTGGAAACAAAACAATCAGAACGTTATATTCTGGGGAAAAAAAAGGATGTTTTTATGTTGTTTCAGGATATTTTGATTTTATTAAAACACTTCATTTGTTTTTTTTATGTCAAAAAATGACAACTTTTTTTGTAAATATTTTGATTTTGACTTAAATAACATTTTTGTTTTGTTTTGATGAAAATTTTCCCATCAGCAGTGGTGATAATGCAACCTCACAACTTCCCGTAATGATTTATAAAATAGGGACTGCTCTGGAATCCTAGAAGCAGAGCTAAAGAATGTACTAATTGCATTCAGACAATTTAAGGTGTTTTGTTATGTCCAGGCTTAGAAGTTAATTGAACTAAATTCATTCTCATCTTTGATCTAATAGCAATTTGCATTGGGAAAGGGATGCAGAGGATGACAGTCTTAATTTTTTTAAACTAACTCACACTGCAAAATCAAGGCTGTAATAGGAAGTTTGTCTGCAATTTGTTAATAAATGAATGAACTTAGAGTCCAGGAGGCTGAAGACCTCACTCTGTCTGGCAGGATCAGCAGCAGTCAGGCTTCCCACATACAGCCATGCCAGTGTGCATCACCTCTCACCTGGGCAGAATCCCTCTAAGGACCAAGTCCATGGCCCAATCAGTCCTGGACTGAGTGACTATAAAACACTCTAATAATGTTAGGGTCAAGGAAACCAGTTTATGTTTTCGCAGAACCTAAGCCTTGGCTATATTGGGAGCAGGCATGCATTTTTAGATGACACTAATAATGTGCTGAGTTAGCTGACCCTTTTCTTGTCTGTATTCTTGTCTCCCTCTAGGAAGCCATGGGGTCCCAGCTGAGCTCTTCTCTGTGATATTAGTAAATAAACAGATCAGTGGTTTGAAGAAAGGCTGGATCTTCTCTTGTTTTCAGTACCTAGTTATGGTATCTCTGAAATAGCCTGCTATACTGCTAAGGTTCAAAAAGTTGTTCTCGGCTTAAAATGCCTGAAATAAAAGTCACTCCCTTGGGTAAGTTCAAACCACAAGATGGAGCTGAAATAGATAGAAAAGTAGAAAAGGTTTGGATGCTGTGACAGAGCCCTAAAGGAATTAAAATTAGTTAGAAATAACTACAATACGCATAGCAAGAGATTCATGCTTCTTTCCATGTTTTAACATAGAATAGCTTGTTATGGTCTTATACTTGCACTTATACGTTACTACGTTACATTTATGTAACTAGCATGCAGCATTCAGATTTGACTCCTCTCTTTAGGCGATCTTAATCTTGCTTTGCAAACGAGAAGACGGAAAGAGATGTTGCTAACCTTGCTTTCGGATGTTGAAAGGATTAATTCATTTATATTTATAAGCTGCCATATAGTGCAAAATATTATTATTTCCTCTTGTCCTTTTGAATTTGGCAAACACTGTTTTCCGCCCACCCCAAAAATGTTTTTACGGAAGCTGGATTATGCTGTGAGCCTCTCGTTTCCTTCGTGGTTTTGCTTCAGCATACATATTAGCACAACGTGTGCAGAATGTTAGCTTATTTAACATTGCTATAGGACCAGTGGGGGACATTGTTCTGTGGAGTACACACATTCAAAAATAGCTGTTGTTAGTTTGTATAGCTATGTTTCTGTGTGTAGTCTGCATACAGAGGATGTTCCTGAAAGATGATAGCAGTTTTAGTGACAAACTGTTTGATAGTATCTTCTTAAATATATCAGCAGAAATGCTTTTTGCTAAGGTGTGTCTTTTGGTCTGAAACTGACAAGCCAGGTGCTAAATGGAGAGCTGCACTTTTACCAAAAGATGAGACACTGTGACATAGAGGAGTGACTATAGGAGAGGGTTTAGATTTCTAATCCAGCTCTGCCAGTGATTTACTGTGTGCCATTGGGCAAGTCATTTCCTCTGTCTGAGCCTGAGTTTCCTCCTTTCTAAAATGAGGATAATGATACTTGCCTATTTAATAGGGGTGTTGAAGTTTATCTAGCCAGTGTTTTCCCAGAGCTTCAAATGTTTATATCCTTCTAAAGGTTTAAGAGGTTATATAGACGTGTGATGCAGCTGCCTTTGTTTGTCTCTTGCTCCAGGGGCTGGCCAGGATGTGGGCCGGAGCTGCATCCTTGTGTCTATTGCAGGGAAAAATGTCATGCTAGACTGCGGGATGCACATGGGCTATAATGATGATGTAAGTATGGCAGAAAGACCGAATGCTGTGTGCAGATTCTTTAAGGTTTATCTGCCCAGCCTTTTCCAGTATTGCTTCTGGTTCTATGGGTGCCTTAGCTACATAACCTACTTGGCCAGCTGTACCAAGCTTCATTTAGAAATTGTTTGAAGAATCCAGCACAATGTTTTGGTGCACTCTTAGGTGAGGGCTCACTTTCCTCTGAAACCTTAGGTATTAACCGCTGCTGGAGTTATAGTACCACACTTGATGGGCCAATATCCCCTCTGGCAAATTCTGAGTTCCTATGTAGGGACTCCCCTCGTCCCCATATATGTTTGTGTACTGTAGTTCCACGTCCCAGCCCCCAGGTGGTGTGTGGGCTGCCTGAAAACCTTAAAAAGAGGCTCAGCAGGGCAATGGGTGCCGCATTTCAGCGTCATTTCACTTTGTCAGGGGTTCTCAAACTTTTGTACTGGTGACCCCTTTCACATACCAAGCCTCTAAGTGCAAGCCCCCCCCAAATTAAAAACACTTCTTGATATATTTAACACCATTATAAAGGCTGGAGGCAAAGCGGGGTTTGGAGTGGAGGCTGACAGCTCGTGACCCCCCCATGTAATAACCTCGTGACCCCCTGAAGGATCCCAACCCCCAGTTTGAGAACCCCTGCTCTATGTGGCAGGAGGCTTCCTGTGCTCTTAAAACGTAAAGCCCATCATTAGTTTGGTACTGGGATGAGCTTTGTTACCAGCCAGTTGATTGATGATGGGACCCAAACCAAGACCTGCAGCATGTACGCTTTGCTGGATATAGAGTGACACAATGGTGGTTTTCCCCCCGACTCTGTTGTTTTGGCTCACGATACCTGAACGTTGATGGCGTCTAATAGAGAGAGGAGTAAGCTTAATTCTTGTGTGCAGATAACAAAACTCATAAAACACAGTACAGAGCGAACTACCAGCTTTAGCAGAACTCTATGAAGAGGTCTGAAACCTACAAATGAGAATTATGGTGAAGATAAAATGGATTAGCTATCTTTCTTCTTTGATGATAACTTAATTACTTATTTGCAATGTCAAAATAAACCCTCCCATTGGCAGTTTTCTGTGCCTTCTTGGCACACTCTGCATTCATCTCTTTTATAGGGTTTAGCCTGTAGCGATCCACCTTACTGGTGACACCAGCCTTCCCTGTTGTCCTGCTGGAGTTCTGCCCTGTAATAAGATCACAGTGCATTCCTAATGCTACATGGGCGGCTGACATTTGTTTAATGTCATGTTTTGAATTCAGTAACCAGCTTTGTTTAATATCTGATAACCTGCTTTTGTGTCTTTTAGAGACGCTTTCCTGATTTTTCATACATTACCCAGAATGGAAGACTGACTGACTTTCTTGACTGTGTAATCATCAGGTAAGAAAACTTCCTGCCGTCTTATAATTCAGGTGCAGAAGAGGAAAGCACTGGAAAATAATTCCCCTTAATGGCTTGCATTTCTATACTGCAAAGATTAGATTGCACTTCTGCTTCATGCAAGGATCTCTCCGTGTTTTACATGAACTAATGCACGTTCACAAGATCTGTGTGTTAGGTGACAGCTATAAACATCTAGCTAAGTGCCTGTAGGTCATATCTTCCATTCTGGATGTTCCTTCACAGCCACTTTCATTTGGACCACTGTGGAGCTTTACCGTATTTCAGCGAAATGGTTGGCTACGATGGACCCATATATATGACGCACCCCACCAAGGCCATCTGCCCCATCCTGCTGGAGGATTACAGGAAAATTACTGTGGATAAGAAAGGGGAGACCAACTTCTTCACTTCCCAAATGATTAAAGATTGCATGAAAAAAGTGGTAGCCGTCCACCTTCACCAGACAATCCAGGTAAAATGACTCACCCCGGGGAACTCTCAGAATAAATCAATTGGACTGTTGAAGAGGAGGGAACAGGGTCTTCCATTGCTACACTTCTGTAGTGCCTGAGATACAAAAAAGGTTAAATGATGTGCCCAAGGTCAGACAGTGAGTCAGTGGCAGAGCAGGGAAAGGCGCTCAGGAATCTTAATCCCCTCCCTTCATACTCCTGCCCTAGCTAAGAAGCATTTTCACTTTAAACTTGTAAGATACTGTGTTTCTTGTCAGTTTCCCTTTGCAGCCAGCTATGTGCTCTAAGGAGCTTGATACAGAAGGAAAAGGACTAAACCTAGTCAATTTCCTCTGCAGCCCTTCCATGTATAAAAGGGGTGGAGGGTTGTTGTTCCTCACCTAGCAAAGACCAAAAATAGGTGGAAAAAACAAAGTGCATATAAAAGGAAAAAGAAAAACAAGCAAGAGACCAGGGTGGAGAGGCAGAAACGAGAAAGCAGGGAGTCAGAGACACAATACAAAATAGGAAGAAGGTGAGACAAAGATTACCCAGAGTCCTTTTA